ATATGTTAGCATTTGTAACATTTACAAATTGCCTGTAAAACGAACATTTATTTGAGCATAGACTGTTATTGTTAATATTATAGAATGAAAGCATACTCGAGCTTACTCCAGCCTATCAATGTATCGGTACGCACCTTTTGACATCTGAGCTTTTGACGTCTTCAAATACTTTATCATGATTTCATGGCTCCTTGGCTCTCTGAAAAATTCAGTCAGTTGATTAACCTATGAGGACTGAAGAATCACTGTCCTCGGGATTTCCGTATTCTCTAAAGTAGTTGTTATCGTCCATGTTATCATCCACAAACTTTGACAAAGATGTTTATTTACTAACTATCTGGGTATAGACTCTGTTATAAAGTCACTATGAATATTGATCTATAATCGGGAAACTTCGACCTCCGATGGAACTTTCAATTTTTAGTTCAAAGGGATTACGAATTATTCCTAAGCCTTATTGCCTGCGTTTTCGACTGAATGCATCCACGGAAATAAACAATGTGAACTTAAATCAAGGATGATTCAACAGGCTACTACCTATACAAATGTTCTGACTTGCCTAAAAGATGAAAGATGATGTTTCTCCTAGGTGTGGGGATTAATTTATTCCCGTCCGACTAATAAGACTTCTATTTATTTAATAAATCACTTGCAGGATACTGAAAGAACTCATTTCTTCATAACAGCTACAACGTCAATGGACTTCCAAGCTTTATGCTGATAAACAATTGACTGTATATAGAGAAGGAACATGTGTTCCGGGCAATAAATCTGTGTTTGGTCATCACGAGAGACAAGCCCGACCAGTCAGTCAGATACAGTGAGGAACTTTGTACGTAAGTTGACGTGCAGCATTAGCACAAAGATGCTATTGTCGATTAAATACCCACCGGATAATCAGGAGTGATGAGTCGGCCAGGATAAGTGAGGCGTTCAACAAACTCAACTACTCCAATCCCTATCACTAGCTCAAATGCCGACGTAAGCCAATTCTGAAGCGATATTTTGCAGTTTCGAGGAAGAGAATCGCATCCTGAACTACTATTGTGGGACGTCTGAACGTGTATCTATGTTCTAGAATATGAAGTAGTATGAATCTGGTCTATACATCCACTTCTAGGTCGAAAACCATCCCGGTTTTCTCGAGCCCGCTCTAAATAAGCTCTAGTTTGGCTTTGAAGTATTATCTAGGCTAACATTTTATACACTATTAGTCAAACTGATTCCTCTGTGGTTGTTACAAGAGGACTTTTATCCTGTCTTATAGATTAGGAAAATCAGCGATTGAGACCAGTCAGATAGGATTACTTTCCGAACCCAGATTCTAGCCAAAACATTAGTTAATCTAACTACTAACACTGGTTCACTATCTTTAAAAATTTAATCCATCAGTACCTGTTGCTCTCCCTCACTTTAGAATGACGTCATCGAGAATCGGGGAATGTACATCAACTTCCCATTCAGGTTTACTTGTAATGATGTGTAACTGAACTTTTCCCTGGATCGGGAATCAACAACTATACCGTCTTTTCCTGACAGTAACGCTAACACACAGATTCTTAATATCAGTTGTCTACTGTTATCTGTCGCTGTTGCCTTTTCCATCTCTCTTGCTTTCGCTACCCACCACTTTGCGATAATTTTATAGACTTTTTACCAACTTGCGCTTAAGTTGACTCGGCTCTTCCTTATGTTCAAAGCCAGATGCTAATGAAATCTACTGGTTTCCCTTAACCTTTGGTTTAAGTTACTAGCAGACATCACTGCTGTTTCCACGGCTATTTGGATATCGTTTCAAGCTTATCCACTTACACACTTGTCTGTTTTTCTGGTTGCTCTCCAGATGTACTCTTGGCCTTCTTATCATTAGATAAAAGACATTTCCTTGGTGTCTTTCGTACCTCCAGTAATTTGCAAACTCAACTACTTCAATCCCTATCACCAGTTCAAATGCCGACGCAAACCAATTCTGAAGCGACATTTTGCATTTTCGAAGAAAAGAATCGCATCCTGAACTACTATTGTAGGACGCCTTTCCAAGTCTCTAAACATCGATTACTATCATATCGTGGACCTAAACTAGGAAGTCTACACTCACTCAAATGGCTCAATTCAGCCGTCAGTGACTTCTTGGATTTGTGTCATATTTGTTTGGCCACCCTTAGCTTTCTTCCAGCCTATCTCCATATCAGGCTACATAACTCTTAACTGGGGGTTGGATATATGCAACATGTCTTGTTTGACTTGTCGTTTGGATGGAGCTGTTTATACCTAACACTAGCACTATATACCTAATGGTCCTTGGATGTACGATCAGTGCTACACAGACACCTACCTATAATCGAATACTATTACCCTACAGATATTTATTCTTAGTGGCCATATTTCACACCTTTATTGTAGAACGGAGCAAACTTCTGCACAATGAAATCGTCGCCTACGGCGTAAATGGCGCAAGTTGACAAAAGAAAGTCCAGCCTTCTGTAGCCAGGTCCAGATTTTTCATACACCAAGTCCCTTGGACTGAAAATCAGATGCAATTCGAATCCACTGATGTCGACTAACCTTTTGGTTTAACTTACTAACATATACATATACATATCGTGAGATGTGACACACTTAGGGTCGACCCCCCCTAAACCATTTCTTCTTTTTGAGAAGGCAGGTGCTGGTTGTCCGAAGAAAACATCTAACTGCCGTTACATCCCTCATTAAGTCATCTGTACAGCCTCGCCTTCAGAACTTGACTTAACGCTTTCAGTCGTACCCTCTCCCTACTGACCTTCCTGGCATGGTAGAACCTGTAGCAACATAAGGTACTGCTAATATAGCTCGACTGGGTCATCGCACTGAGCAAGACTGACCACCACATCAATGTAGCGGCTGCGGTTGAGGTGAACATTTGTTATGCCAAAAAGTTTAATTACGAATATTTATAGGGGAATCAACTAATAAGTTTGAATCCAAATAGTACTGAATAATTTTAACGCTGGTCATTTGCGAAAATCTCGGTGTTGTATATGTAGGAAATAGCAGTCTGCACTGCATGAAAGTCGTATGGAATTATGACTTCTTACTGGTGAGCGCTTTTAACTGTCGCAATTTCTTCTGGGGCACAGTAGATAAATGTATATATCTTTTAAGTGGTGCCCGTTGCCTACGTGAAATTACTATACATCCACGCAACATCAGCTCTTCTCTCTATCCACGACATTTCAAAGAAAAAGGAACGACTATGGCTGAAGTTACATGTTATCACAAACTGAAACATTTGAAATTGAGACAGAGTTGTTCAGCAATACCTTCATTTCTTATTGTTGAAATGAAGTTGGATTATTACTGGGAACCTCTGCATACTGTTTAAATAATTCGAGTCATTCATAATTAATAAAGTGAATAGCCTTTTGGAATCAAAATCCCAAAAAAACTGTCGCATTTCATTACATTGTCTAAGCAGACTGAATATTATAGTAACTCGTGAAAAAGGTATTTGTTAGTTGATGAACCAATTAATTTCTTTGCGCACGGTTGTTGTTCTGTATCCGACACCTAGTCTCTTGTTAAGAGCTAGTACAAAATAATTGAGCTTTCTACCGATACATCACCACCACTCCCCTAAAGGCAATCCTCGAAAATTGTGCATCAAAGAGCGAATACTCAGGTTCGTGCACACTTTTTCTCAATGAGTCGTCGCAACTTGAAATACTCTCCCAACCGAGGTGACCACATCCCCTTCGGCGGACAGCTTTAAGAAGAGACTTGATAATCCCGATCTCACACACGGATTATCATCTCCCTCTTGGACAAGCTGTGCCTGCTACATATATTGAGACCTGATAATCGTTATTATTGCCATTTCCTCAGTTTACCAACTTCATCCTTCTCGCCGGTTATCTCTGTTCCCTCTCCCTTGCTTACACTTTGGTCCTCTCTCAATATCTTCACCACCAGTCGATAAACTAAATTATCTATTTATTTACTTAGTTCTGTAATCTCATTCATAATAGCATTATAATTTTCTCTTTCTTATTCTCCAAATTGCGGCCAACTGACTCCCGGTCTGATAATGTGATAGCTTCTGGTATCCAGAAACCCTACTGCCCTGAAATAAACGTTTCCATTCAAATCACGGGACATACGAACTCACAACCAACTGCCAACTGACTAGAATTAGACAGTCGATTGGCTAGACCACCATCCATTTGACACTATCAAACACCTGGAACCGCACTGAAAGAACAAGAATTGAGAGCGAAGAAATCAACTGGTTGATACGAGCTCGTGAAAAGTATATTGGATATTGAATTTTCTCGCGCTCGAATTACGCTATTTCGGTACGGTTCTAGGTATTTGGTAATTTCCGATGAGTGATAGCTTGGCTCCTCGACTGCACTAGTTGTAGTCATTTGGTAGTTATTTATGAATTTGTAATATGCTTGAGTGCGTTTGTTTCATTTATTTAGTTACAACGTAGAAATTCGTAACTACGTACATCAGCTCAGGTTACCATACCACATTAGCAGATGAAATTGTTTATTCAAATCCCATTGTAATAGGTATATTTCAAGTGTTAGCGGTAATGGAGAAGATTAGGGTGTGAAGATAGTACTTAAGAAGCATAATCTAGTGAAATAAGTTTGGGGAGAAGATGGAGGTGAGCAGCTCAGATTAGGATATGAGGGAAGACAAACAGTAGGTGCACCTGCACTATTGCAAACGATTTACCGCCATGTCATTTAAGGTATCTAACCATCGGTTACTATCGTCTCGCGAACTTCAACCAGCATGGCTCCAGTCAGTTGTCAGTGACTTCATAGATTTGTGCTATGTTTTTGTTCGGCCACCTCCTAGCGTTATTCCAACCTACATCACAAAACGTCGAGGCGTTTGTTTTAAGGAAGTGGGGTTTCTATATAACAGTAGCTATTACGTCAACAGGCCGATCAAATATTTGCACTTTGGAGAATAATAAGCAGGAAATCCTAATGCTAGTGAGATCTCAGGACAGTAAATCAATGGATAAATAGGTTAATTAATTCGTAGTGAGGATTGTGCGACAGGACAGATATTCTGTTATCTGTTGCAAATATAATATCTAGTAGTCAGGATACTAAATATATCATAGATACCATGTCTATTTCACGCTTAAGTTCTTCGGGACCTAACCTAGTACTTGATGTATCCAAGTGGAAAAATAAATAGCTAACGCCTCGTTTTATTAACAAATAGTTTTTCCGCCTAAAAATTCTCTTTATGTATGATTTCAGTTATATGGACTTTGGTGTACTTAGTGGAATATATATTTCTTCGTTTCTTTTGCGCTGAGAAAACATCTGTGAAGACATTTCTTCAGATGTATCCTCAGAATTTAGTATGAACCCTATTCGCATCTGTTCATGGAATATAAATGGGTTGCGTTCTATTCAGCATTCGTTGAAAAGCATTTTAGATTCTCTCTCATCTGATGTAATTTGTATCCAGGAGACCAAGACCACGCGTATGTTAATGTTTATAGTTGATATTTTCGATTTCTAGCTGATATAAGTAGCGACTTTGCATATGCGGATAACTACAATGGTTATTTCAGTCACAGTATACACAAGACAGGATACTCAGGTATATTCAATGTTTTGCAATAAATACGACAGGAACTGCAATTTTTTGTCGCAATCCTCTTAAACCAACCAAAACATACCATAACTTAAATGATATTCTCGTCGAATCCACATTTTGTAAAGACAATTCTATGGATGGGTTGAATTTCCTTAAGAATATGCTGAATATTTCTTATGCAGAAGCTCGTAATTTGGATGCAGAAGGAAGAGTATTGGGTCTTCAATTTTCGAGTGATATGTTTACCACCTCTCGAACTGCAAATGAAATCCGACCGCTAGTTGTATTGTCCATATATTTTCCCAGATTAGATTCAGAAAATGTTGAACGTTTGAATTACAAACATCTTTTCCATTATGCTGTACAACATTGCATTGAATCACTTCTAACAGAAAAGTAAGTCATTCATTTATTTTGTCTGTAATATTTCAGTAATGTAGTTATTGCTGGTGACTTTAATATTTGTCACAAAATAATCGATCACTGCGCTCCAAATGAACTTATCGTAAGTTAACCGTGGTAAATTATAAAATTTTCGTTTTGGACATCTTGAGATCTAACTGGTGTGCTAAACGGTTTTTAACTTATCTTTAAGTCATATCATCTTACTGAAGCTTAGCAATCCTACTCAAGACCTCGAAAATCGGATTCGATGTGGTGAGTTTTAAACTGGCGATTTGAATGTTAAGAACTGAGTGCTTTAACGACTATTCCACAAGCTTTTCTGAAAAAGTAATAAATAAATCAAATTTTTAATGATAATATTACTGAGGTAACTACAGTTATAGGTGTTGATGAAGAGATCACTACAAAGCTCATCTGTTTGTGCTGTTCAGTTGGTTTAGTATCACTCATCAACCTTTACGATAGATCATATATAACAGCCTTGAAGCGTTCAAGTACTTCATTCCATCCATATTCTCTTGATAATTTAAATAAACGAGTAGATAACCGTAATGTATCATGGAAAGTTTATATTTTGAAAAACAATCGATAGAAAGTATTTAAATGAAGTGAAATCAACCGAATGCTTTTGAATAATAATAAATAGATGGGTAAAAAACAAGTGGATCTTTTTGATAATAAAATCATTTCAGTAGTGATAAATTGCTCTTCGTTTGAAATTTATCAAAACGGTAATAATTGAGCTAAGTATATATTTAACAAATAAATATAGTAGCTAGAAACAAAGTAATCGGGGGCATAAAGTGAACAAAATTGAACAGCCGAGTGATAAGTAAAGTGTTATAGAGAAATAGTTTTCCGTTATTAAAAAGTCCTTCCAAACATAAATAAAATCGCATATGTTTAGGAAAAAATGTTTCGGTAAAAATTAAAGCATCTCGTTCTGTTAATCAAGTGACAGGCAGATACAACGCAGAAATTCGTATGTCAGTACATCAGTTCAGATTGCCATACCGCATTAGCACAGAGACGCAACTGCCATTTCAAATCACATAGCGGCAGCGATAGTAGAAGTATTAGCAGTAATGGAGAAGATATGATTCGAGAAGTATAATTCAGTGAGATAAATTTAGAAAGAGAAAGATGGAGATGATGAGGGATTCAGAAGTTTAGGAATTGAGAGAACACAAAGAATGGGTGCACTTGCGCCATGTCCTTCAAGGCCTCTAACCATTGGTGACATACGCTTCGCGAACCCCATCCAGGTAGCCTACATCTGCCAACATAACTCAGTCAACTTGTCAGTGACTTTATGGATTTGTGCCACGTTTTGGTTTGGCCGCCCCTAGCTTTCTCCCAACCCATTCCTACACCACAAGACATCGTTCGTCGAGGCAGTCGGTGGTTAGGTATACGCAACACATGTCCCAACCACCTCAACTGATGAAGTTTAAATACTTCATCTATTGATTTGCCATCCCTAATTCATCAAATGGTTCAGTACTTTCCACCTTAGATAAGTGGTAATCTGTCACCATGATGAGAAAACGCGAATTCTCCAAACAGACTTATCTATACACATAAAATTCTGGTGAAAATCCGTCTGCACTACCTCAGGATTTACAGCGTCCTCAACTTGCTTATAAATTGCCAAATGTATCTAAAGGCAGTAAAACCTGAATTTCAATTGAGTTCAAATTTATTTTTGGTTAGTGTGAAACCAGTGGAACATGTTGCGCGTATCTTATCTTAAAACTGTTAAATAGGCCGATTACAGTTTGAATACGTCTATATAAGTATAGTTGTGCACTAACATATTATTAAGCTTCCACATTTGACAACTCATCATATCTGAAACTTTCTATAGACAGAGTCATCCTATCATTACAAACAGTGAATTTGCATAAAAATCAGTTTCTAGGCATGAGACCTTTTTAGCGGAAAGCGCCAAACCTCTATCGTTTGAACTGTCTTATTCTGAGAAAGATAATCGCGTTCTGTCATATTCTAGTTACAATTCGTGCATACTTCAATACTGCTTGAAAAAATTATGTAAATTTTGTTTCACATACTTCACAGATTGATAAGTCTTCGAAACCTTTTCGCGAATGGTTTGATCAGTTGTTGGTTGAAGAACAAAAAGATGAGAGTCTTAATACTCAAGACAGCGTTGGTTTAAGAAGATTCGTAGATATTTTCAGGTAATTATCAAATTCTCAAAAAAAACTAACTTTCGGAGTAAAACTACTGGTGCCATCGAAAATTTGTTTCAATTAATTACTTATATACGAATTAAACAGCTTATTTCGATTCACGCTTCTAATCGCAGAAGAGTAGACATATACAGTAGACAGATAGATTAATATTAGAACACCTAACACAAAAGTACAATTCAGTTTTATAGACTTTGCTCGAGCGACTATGAATAAATATCTGCTAATCGATCACCTATGTATTCTTGGAAGCAAATCACTGCAGTGTTCAACAGTCCAGATTCAGTAGATCATCCTTTCATACGTTACACAAAAAAAATGGTGGTAGCCTCTTATTCTAATTAGTTTATGCTAACAGAGATGATAACTACAATAAAATACAAAGTATCAGTTTGGGATTTAGTGTTAAACAAACAATTGAAAAGGCTACTTTGTTTTATTTGTTATACCGAAATATAAATATATGAACAAGTGATTGATGCAAAGCTTTTCTACAGGAAAGGCTTTAGCAAATAGCATTTTGTAAGATAGATAACCTACCAAATATACATAAGCAATTAACTACTCTATGGTCAATATTGGAAACCAAAATAATGTTAGTAAGTTGAAGAAATGTTTTGTAAAAATTCACATTCTATAAGATGAGAGAGGTTAGTTCTCAGCTAAGTATTACATTGATAATTCAATTTAATTCTGTAATTTTTCAGACTTTTTTAATTCAAAAATATTTCTTAAATAAACAACTAGTTATTGTGTTGCCTAAACTATGTAGGCATTGTCGCTTAAATAAATAGTTTCTAAGGGTTTTAATAACGTTCTAATAATAAAAAGTCTAGTCTTGTAAGAACTTAGAAATAACTTTCAAAATATCAAATGAAACTGCGATTTGTTAGTGATATTATTATAGCGTTTTTTATCTATAATTGTCACTTAGAACTTTACATTACTGTTTAATTTTCGTACCTCATCTAATTAATTGTCTTAGGTTACTGCATCCTCATCGGAAAAATGCTTTCACATGTTGGTCATCGCGTACAAGTGCTCGTCAAACAAATTATGGAGTCAGATTAGATTATATTTTATTCGACTTGAAACTTGTGGAAATGATCACCACATCAGACAATAATATACAAGCAGACTTGATGTTACACATAGATGGATCTGATCATTGTCCAATATATGCAGATCTACCATATTTTTATAATTCAGATTTGATTTTTTCTAACTCATTTCCACCCAAATGTTCTCATTACTGGCCTCAATGTCGCAGAAAGCAAATGGATTTGGAGAGTTTCGTAATTTCAAATAGTCATTCCGAAGTGACTAAACAAGCTTACACTTCAAACGCACCAGCTTCTATAACCTGTGTAAAAAATTCACGCACCAAAGAAAAACGTCCCGTCTTCAGACAAACGAAAATCACTTTCAAGAGTAAGTTGGTCTAATACAGCCTTGTTTGTAGTTCATTTACACTTATCATGAGGAATATTTTTTTTTGTGACTTAATGGGCAATTAATCTTTTTCATGGAATATAACTTCATAAGCAATACTAATACTATTAGAGTTGCTCATAAAGGGTAACTGTAAATACCTTCAACTACACTTCCGAACAAGATTCAATATAATTTGATGATATAATTGTTGTAATTTCAGTTAATTTATTCTATGTTAACGCTTTGTGTTTCTCATTAGAATCCATACCAATAGCGACGTCTACATGTACATACGATCAGTTGTCAAACATAGAAAATACGACTGAAACTATCAAAGGGAAAAGTTACGATCCATCTAAAACAGCTCAGTCAGTTGAAGTACTGCGAAATCTTTTGTCAGGACCGAAGAAACCTCCTGTATGCCTTGGTCACAAAGAACCTTGTGTCATGAGAACTGTGAAACAACTGAAAACAACTAAAGGTAATCGGTTTGGGAGGATATTTTGGGTTTGTGCACGCCCGCAAGGAGCTCCAGACAATCCAGCTGCCCGGTGTAACACATTTTTTTGGGATGATCAAGTACCAAACAATAAGTTACCCAAATAGTTGATTTTTTATTAGGAATTAAATATCAATGAGAATAATATAAAAAGAAATTAAAGATAATACTATCACAAATCAGTTATTAATGTCTTGAAGTTAGCAAATTAAAAAATTATTTATTTACCAGCTGTTATCTGATGGGTATATTTTTTTATATCTTCGCATTATTTGGACTGGACCTACTGTGAACATTGTTATTAGGTACATTATTGAGAGTTGGTTTGGCACATTCACGTTGAGTTGCGGCTGTAAGTTCTCTGAATCTCTTCATTATCATTATTAAAGCTCTATCTCGACGTGCTATTGGCTCCTGTAAACGCATGAGTGGATGCCATCTAATGTAGTAACCTGTCCAAAATTGAAGCTGAGCTAGTGCATGCTGAGGAAAAATAACACGGTGACCACTGATTTCAGCAGGAGTATACAGTGGGTTTTGATACAACTGGATGTCTGCATTGATATATGCCCACAATGAGATAGTCCTTTCACGTACACCATGGTCTCGTCCTTGCATTTCTGAATTAAAAAGAAAAGTACCGAATCGCGCAGCATATAACTCATCCATTATTGTGATGAGAAATCGTTCGTTGAACTCAAATGAATGAGGAAACTGCTGCATTGTTTGCCATACGCAATCGATAAACTGTAAAAATACTGGGGAACGCTCTTCAGGACTAGATGGTCGCCCTCCACCGGTGTCATTAACAGCCGAACTTGATAAGTTGGGAGGTAAGTAAATCCCACCATCTGTAGGTCCACCGGTGCGCTGTGCAAATTTATGACCAAATGAACACCATTCTTTCTCAACTAATACTTCAAATCCGCGTATTGTACGGTAGTACGGATCGAGCATCAACATTGCTAAGGATGTAACTTGAGTTGTCCGGTCCCAACCATCTGAGCAATGTATTAAAACAGATGTCTTATGATTTTCGATCTAAAATAAGATAATAACGGAAAGTAATGTCAATAACATTGAGCACTACACACATATTGTCAAGACCATAATACAGATAGATTAAAAAATCTAACTTACTTTATCGGCCACACTGGTTGCAGCAAAAATAATTTGTTTAATATGATAAAGCCATTTAGAGTCTGCCAGTTGTTTAAACCATCTTGTATCATCTGGTAATGGAAAACAGGCTTCGAAAACTTTTGTTAATGCAGCTCGCATCGCATGTATATTTTGTATATTTAAGAACATGTATTGAACATTTTCATAATAAGCTGGATTTTCAACACCTCCACCAACGCCTATGTTTGCGATTGCATTGACCTAGACATATTCAAACATTGAAAAGTATAGATTTCTTATAGGTTGTTTAAAAAAAAATTAACAAGGCGATGAGATAACACGAGAATTTCCAATGTAGCGTATAACTTCTCAGAAAAAAAACTAATCCTTACGAACCAGGAAAGAGGGACAAAACCGCAATTTTACATCGAGATATAATTTGCTGTTTGTAAAACAGCGTAATTAATTATTATTTTTACTAAGGCTAGCAGGATAAAGTCCTAACTATAGCATGCGATGATCAGGCTGAAGTTGTAATAGGCCGATTGGCCCATTTTAAAGGAGTCAGTTCTTCTAGCCAACAGAGATGTTAAACGATTGTTACCTAGGCTAGATTCCTGTAATGTAATTAGCTTAAAAACCTTGAACATCAATAGTATTCAGTGTTTTCCGTGTTACAAATCAGAGCAGCATTACGACAATAATCAAATTCTCACCACTTACTACTTCCTAATGTTTTGAACTTGGTATGAAGAAACTTTATCGACAAGTGATTTCGGAAAACACTATCCATTCATTTAAGAGTACGTAGGTATCGGTTCAGTGTTTTCCAAATAAAAGTGACCGTTTTTAAAGAAATAATGACCAGGATAGGAAAAATGCATGTAGATTACTACACAAACAAGTCTTACATATCTTACCTGTGGACGAGCATCAAAGATTAAAAGGTTATTTGCATTTGCATTCGCTATCCTGAGCTGACGAACGAGTTCTTTATCTTCGGAGCTGCGACGACCCTGGACGCCAACAAGAGGTTGACTTGCTCTGGTTAAACTTGCTTTACTTTCAGGATGCAACCAACTTAACACAGGTATACGACCGCGGCTGCGATGTGGCGCACATGCGATTAGGAGTTCGTCAGTCACTTCCCACGGGACAGCTAAAATAGCTGGGTACGTATCACACAACCTATAATCCATGTTAATCTGTAATTTTAGAAATAATAAACAATAAATAATCTAGACAGTTCGTATTTAAAAATGAAGTCTGCACAAAGCATTTAAGTTGTCACGTAAGGTAGATGTTCGTAAATTTGATGAAGGAAGTCTCGAACAAATACAAATCTAGCTTCTCAATAGCAAAGCTTGAGGGAAACTATCAATATTCTTAATTACACTGAGGAAGAAACTAGAAACAGAAAAACGGCATTGTTTAAAGAGAATACCTTAAGACTGATATGACTACGTCGCGAAAAATTACAAGATGTGTGTTCTGTCATACATTTGCAGGCCAAACTGTAGATGCTACATTGACGTGGTGGTCGGGCTTACTTATCGTGATGACCCAACGACGCTGGAACACATGTTGCGGCTACCATGCCAGTTAGTTTGGCTGGGGAACGGTAAGACTAAAAGAAGTAACTTAAGGTCTGAGGGCGAAGTCGTAATGATGACTATGGAGTAGTGTAACAGTTGCAGAGTTTTCGCTCTGACAACCAGCATCTACAGCGATGCTACCTTCTCACAACAGAAGGGAGGGGTTGAAAAAGGTCGGTCTTAAAAATGTAGCACCTCACCTTACCCCACAGACTCGTCTCCAGCAGTGAGGTTTTTTAAGGCCGGAGCTAACACTTCGAAATCTCATAAAAGGACTGTGCTCTTTGGTAACGTCATCGGGTCGCTAAGACAAATGCTAACCAATCTCCCTTCACAGATTCCTCGAGAAATGCCCCTCCGCCGTGTGTGCGGCCAGGAAGTGACAATCACACGTATACGCGTAATAACACATGAGATCAACTCGTTCACGACCGAATTCCTCCGCCACCTCTTTATAACTCTCTTATCTCCACAACTGACAATCCTCACATATTTTTATCACCTTGCGTCGCTAATGCTAATTGTTTGAATTCACGGAATATTATTCCTGGTGTACTGAAACCACGGTCTAAACTGCATACAGGGGGGAGCTTGTGATAAATAGGAAAAAAGCTTCCTCACCTAGGAACGTAGAACCTTGCACCATCGATGACTGCTGCGTCTTTGAAACGCGTATACAGGACCCGAGCAGTCATTCATTTGACTTCACCTCATAAAAATGAACCCGAGCGATTTGCCCTTCGTGTAACAGGAGACTACTGTTACTACTCATGGCTCCACTGGTGTAGATATGGCATTGGGTTTTAAGACAGAACTAGCCTCTTAAAGTGGATTCCAGTAGACAGTTGCTTGTGTGCTTTTCAAATAAATGGGACAGAAATAGGGAAACTTGATTTGGTGTAAAAGATAAATCATACAGAAGGCTTTCCAATCTTCTTCAAAGGCCTAAGCGCTCTGATGCAGTCACAGTGACTAGCGACTTTAATGCCCAAGTAGGTAGACTCAATGAAACCGAAAGACATCTAGGTGGTGGATGTTACTATTGCGGCTCACCAAGCAGATAATCGAGACCATACGCTATAATTATTCTCAGATAGCCGCTTATTTCTAGCAGGCACCAACTTTAAGCATAAGGAAAAATATCTGTTGTCATAGAGACCCCCAAAATCTACTGAACTCGTATGGACCACACTGTCATCAGCCATCGTCGAACAGGCTCAATGGGTGACCGTCGATCATTCTGGAGCACATGTTTAGACTCAAACCGTGCTTTAGTACGAGCACGTACTTTTCTGCAACTTACTGGAGGTACGAAAGACAGCAAGGAAACCCATTAGAATCCTGCCTAATGGTAAAAAGGTCGAGAGTAACTAGAAAAACAGTTAGACAACCATGTAAGTGAGGTCCACACCGAAGAAGCTTGGAATGATATCCGAAGAGCTGTGGAAACAATAGAGATATCTGCTGGTAAATTAGGTCCAAAGGTTTGGAGAAACCAGTGGATTTTAGTAGCAGCTACTGAACTGACAGAACTTCGGGAACTAACCTCGTCTGACTGTAAACACGATGATGAGGGCAGGCATCCTATGTACAGGCTGATAAAAAGCCTAAGCAATGATAGGGAACAGTGGCGTGTAGAGGAAGAAAAAAGATGGAGATGGCTGCAGCGATAGGTAACAGTAGACAGTATCCACGACCAACTCCTCCTTCTGCAAACGATGCGAGTTCACAAAAAGTTATTCATGGTCTCCTGAAACTATGCCAAGTAGGGGAACAGGCTTCACTAGCTAGAAATCTGGAATCCCGGGCGATCGATGTATGTTGTGTCTCTGATTTCTCCTGGTCAAAATAAGGAACCAACTCGATTTACTCTTCGTGTATCTGGTAGCCCTGATGCTGCTTCCTATGGACTCGCCGGTGTAGGCATAATATTAAGTCCTAGGGCAGAACCAGCTCTCTTAGACTGGATCGCGATAGACAGTCGCTTATGCGCTGCGCGACTAAACGAGATGGTACGGACTCGGAAGGATAGGGATACTCGCCGTTGCCTCTTCGTCGTATCTGCCTATGCCCCCACTGACTGCAGTTCAGACGACATGAAAAATGAGTTTTACAGAAAGCTTTCGGACCTCCAAAACGTTAGGCGCTCTGATATAATAATGGTGGCTGGTGACTTTAACGCCCAAGTAGCTAGACTCAGTGAAAAGGGAAGACCTGGATGGGTATTATGGTGTCGCGGCTCAGTAAACAGATCATGGTGACCGTCTGTTGCAACTATGCTCAGATAACCGCCTATTTCTAGCAAACACTAGCTTTAAGCATGAGGAAAAACACCTTTTGACCTGGCGACCCCCATGGCCGACACAACGATGGACCCAACTAGATCACATGGCTGTAATCCATCTGTGAAGAGGCTCTATTGAAGACTGCCGCTTATTCTGCAGCACTTGTTTAGACTCAGACCATGCTCTAGTGAGAGCGCGTATTTGTTTGAGGCTGTGGACGAAGGAAATATATCGCAAGGAAACCTCTTAGGGCTCTACTTGATGATAATAAAGCTAAGAATGTATTTCAGGAACAAATAGAAAAACAGTAAGGAGGCCATTTAGTAAGTGATACCCATCCTGAGGCAGCTTGGAATGATATCAAAAGAGTTGTGGGAACAGCAGTGATATCTGCTAGTAAGGTAAACCATAAGTCTAGGAAGAAGCCGTGGATTTCAGTAGCATCTACAGAACTGATGGATGCTCGAAAGCTCATCCCACCTGGCTCTGAGTGCGATGAGAAGCGGAGTCAGCTTAGGCTCAGGCTGATAAAAAGCCTACACAATGATCGTGAACAGTGGTGGGTAGCCAAAGCGAGAGAGATGAAAAAGGCAGCGGCAATAGGCGACGGTAGACAACTTTTCCGCCTTATCAAGGGAACCGGTATCAGAAATCCATCTGTTAGCGAAACTCCCTCAAAAAGAATGGGTTTATAATTCAAACCAGATTGGATCGATGGGGAGAACACTTGAGGGATCAGATCAACTGACCTTCAGCCATCGTTGCCAACGATGCTCCAGTCATCCTGAATGGCAGATCGACGTAAGATGTTCGACTCTTTATGAAGTCGAAAAAGTTATAGTACATCTGAAGCAAGGGACCGCAGCGGGTACTGAAATTTTTAAGGATGGCGGTCCAGTTTTGACAGTTAGATTGACCGAGATCTTATGTAGAATCTGGGCGTCATCCCATCTTACTGGTCTCAGTCGCTACTTGTCCCAATTTACAAGAAAGGACAAACGTCCTCTTGCGATAATAACAGGGGAATCAGTCTGACTAATGTAGTTTCTAAATTGTTAGCCTCAATTATACGTAGACGTCTAACTAGAGCTCGTGAAGAGCAGACCCGAGAAAACCGGGCTAGTTTCAGACCTGGAAGTGGCTGCACAGACCACATTCTCACACTACGACAGGTCCTGGAACACAGACACACATTTAGACGTCCGACAATAGTTGTCTTCCTGGACCTTAAGGCGGCATTTGAATCCGTGGATCGTAAGGTTCCGTGGTAGTGCCTATCATTAAAGTGTACCAAAGAAGTACATTAACCTTATACAAACTCTCTACTCGAACACTACTGGTCGGGTTAGAGCTTATGGAGAACTGCCATCGATATTAGTTACTTCAAATGGGGTCCTTCAGGGATGTCTACTTTCTCCATTCTTGTTCAATTTTGTCATAGACATGCTGCTAGATATAACATTATCTTTGTCTGAATTTTCAGGGGTGGACCTCCTACCAACAGACTCGCTTGTTGACTTCGAATATGTCGATGACATAGTTCTATTCGGTGAAGACGCTGACAAAATGCAGTCTTCTGACTACTCTAAGCAACCCTGCAAGCATACTCGGGATGCGGTTCTCACCCTCGAAATGCAAAATGTTGCTTTAAGATTGGGTTGCATCGGCACCCGAACTAGTGAGAGGGAGTGAAGTAGTCGGGCGTGTTGACCGCTTCACTTATCTCGGGAGTCTCATCAGTGCTGATGGCCTGGTGACTGACGAAATCTTAGCACGAGTACAGAGGGCTCGATTGAATTTTGCCAACCTGCGTCACTTATGGCGTGGGTGAGATATCCGTTTGCTGAGTAAAGGACGAGTGTACTGCGCAGCAGTTCGCCCCGTCCTACTTTATGGCTATGAAATATGGCGAGTCAGAGTAGATATTCACAGGTTACTGGTTTTCGGTCATAGGTGTCTCCGAAGCATTGCTTGAGTATCGTGGGACAATCGAGTAAGCAATGTTGTTATTAGGAAACGGGTACTAGGTAGGGATGGCAAATCAATAGATGACGTATTGAAACTTCATCAGTTGAGGTGGTTGGGACATGTGTTACGTATGCCTGACCACCGACTGCCTCATCAAGCCATGTTTTGCAATGTAGGAACAGGTTGGAAGAAAGCTCGAGGGGCGGCCAGACAAAAACATGGCACAAATCCATGAAGTCACTGACAAGTGGACTGAGTCATATCGGTCAGTGTCGACTACCTAGTTGGAGCCTGTGAGATGGAAATAATCGATGATTAGAGACCCGGAATAACATGTCTCTAAACCGTTTGTAATGGTACAGGTCCATTCATTCTTTGTATTCTCCTAAATTTTTTGTTTTTACATTTATTTCACTAGATCCTACTTCTTGAATAATATCGTCGAACCCTTAAATTTCCGATCACTGCTAATACTTCTACTATCTCTACTACTATGGGATTTGAATTGACAATGACGTCCCTGTGCTAATGTGGTATGGCAACTTGAACTGAAGTACGTACGTACGAAGTTCTACGTTACTGTTGATTGATTGATCATGTTTCTAGAGAGAGGCCACGTATTTTCAAATGGTGGCATACGTCAGTCAGTCAGATGCAACGTAGAACTTCGTACGTAAGTACATCAATTCATGTCGCCATACGTGAATAGTTACGATTACTGAAATAATGAGTGTTAATCAGATAAATACTAGTCTTTATTTAGACTGAAATACACTACGCGATGGGATTTAAAAAGAACCAACACAAGGATTTGTGAATCACCAATAGTTGTAGATTAAATCAGTCTGATGCTTGAATAGATATAAGACGAACTATGAAGTTTTGACTAATTGGTTGAGTTGGACGTTCAAGTAGAACTATGGATATATATATTGTTTGCTACACAACAGCAATAAGAAATTAGGAATCTAAAAACCATAGTAAGGTTATAACTACAAAAATAGTGTGATATAGCTTCACGAGAGGCCTACGCAGACTCAAAACACAATTCCGAAATACGTTATTTTCGTCGGCCACACGTTAGCAAACCGTTCATAACTTCTGCGTATATATTTCACAAGACATATCACATTTTTTTAAACACAGATTATGGATAAAAGCGAAAACTTGCTTTTGAAATCCTCCATCCATTAGTAAAAATGTTCTGGCGATGATATTCCTCTTCAGGGTTGTACACATCCCAACCGTTCTTTTTAAAAATATTGTTGGAGATGCACTTTGCTCCATATAAATACGCGAACAGAACTTTTTTGGAAATAGCAGGGAATGCGTTTGCTTTAAGGTTTTCACAAAACGCAACAGTTCGTCCACAGTCCTAAAGAATAAGGTGACGATGCATATTATAACTACCGAAAAGTTGAACACCAGTTCTCGGATATCTTTACAGACAATATGAACTGAGATGCTTCCTTGGTTAGATTTTTGATCAATGCTTCGAATTGTTCCTAATGGTAGCTTTAAAAGATATTTTTTCCTTTCTGAACCCTGAAACAGGTTTGGTGTGCGAGTAGAAGAAGCTTCATTTTGTAAAGCAATAAACACTACTTGAAAGTTTGTCAGCTTTTAAATAAACGATAGGAGAATCAAACCTCTATCAAACCCGGCAGATATAAACCACCGTAAGTTACATGAGAAGCCAAACAGTGGTCAACCCTCTCTTCACCGGGAAGTTTGCGGTAAGCTTGAATTGAGCGCAAACTGCTATAGGCTGACATTTGGCAGAGATATCAGGTTGGACTGCGTAGCGCCATTGTCGAAAAAGCCTCTACAATTGGTAGTTGCCTTACTGCTACACGATTCCAATATATCTCCAATATGCAATATCTTTTTCACGACCTAGTATCAACCAGTTGATTTCTTTGCTCTCAATTCTTGTTCTTTCAGTACGGTTCCAGGTGTTTGGTAGTGTCCAATGGATGGTGGTCTAGCCAATCGACTGTCTAATTCTGGTCATTTGGCAGTTGGTTGTGAGTTCGTATGTCCCGTGATTTGAATGAAAACGTTTATTTCAGGGCAGTAGGGTTTCTGGATACCAGAAGCTATCACATTATCAGACCGGAGATTAGTTAGCCGCAATTTGGAGAATAATATGAAGAAAATTCTAATGCTAATATGAATGAGATGACAGAAGCATTACTAGAAGCATTTCAATTTGCAACGACTCCTATTGATAAGAAGTGTGCACGAACCTGAGTATTCGCTCTTTGATGTGCAATCTTCCGAAGATTCTGTCGAGGGGAGTGGTGGTGATTCATTCGTAAGCTGCTCACGAGGTAGTTTGGCGTGCTGGGTATGTTGTATGCCATAATCAGATCACCTTTGATCATCCTGTAACTCAGTGAGAATAATACCAAGTGCTGGAGTCTATCTTTTCAAGGCTTATTCTTTAACCCTATCACTCATTTAGTTACTCGTCTGTGCACTCGATTCAAGAGATTTATGTCTCTCTTTTAGCAGAGTGGGTGCGATGGCGTTGTGAACCTCCAGGTGTGGGCACGCTCGAGTCTCACGATTTGGCATACACTCTATTCACTTTGGTGCGAAAATTTCTAGTCTCAAGTTAGTTTACAAGTGAAGGTATGGATCGGTTAGTGAAGCCCATATCCTCAGCTTTCGCTGTTAGAAGTGAGTGAGGTACTGTTTTGAAGGCTTTTGAAAAGTTATTAAATGTTATGTGTTCCGGTTTATTTTAGGTCACAACATGACTTCCAACTGCTCCATGCTATGAGAACATTGGACGCGCACAAGCTGCCTTTCCGATGCGCGTTTTGAGCTTCATGGAGTGTTCTGTTCTTATCCATGTACTCCCTCATTTGTTCGTTCATCAGACCTAGCATTAATTTCTATAGTAACGGTAGTAACCCAAATGGTCTGTAATGGGCTGAGTCTTTCGTATCTCCTCCGTTTAGGATTGGAGAGAGAGTAACTTGTTTCCGTTCAGCTGGAATTTTGTGTGCCTCCAATGGATGCCTGAGCAGGTCATATTTCGGTGAACTGAGGGCTTCTGCACATTGTTTTAAGACTATGTGGCATATATTGTCACAACCTGGTGACTTCTCCGGGCATTAGGATTTTAGCTTCCTTAGTACTAAGTCAGGAGTAATACAGGTATTCCCTGAGCCGTCAGCTGTCAGCGAGTTTGCGTAGTACTCTGAGCATAAGAATGTCTGGTCTAACTTATCGGAGAAGTTTGTGTTGATGATCTCCGCCATCTATCTCCAGAGTGGTGAGGTCTTTCCCATTTGGACCTTTGAGAGAACGCAAACACTGATTCGTAGGCTTTTTTAGTAATGAACGTAAACAGATACTTAGAGTCTGCCTGTGTTTTGGCAGCCAGCTTCATCTGAGAGCATCTCCTATCACTTCAAACTTTGATACTACATCCGTTTCTGAGTGCCGAGTAAGAACTGAAAGCTCCATTTCGGAAGGCTTTGTTTGTGAAAATCTCTCCATATATGCAGTTGTAGTATGTCCTCATTGATTCCTTCAGTTCTACATTTTGTTAATCCGTTCAATTTCCTTTTGGGATGATAATATTTGCATTTTATTATAATTTCTAACTTTTGTGCCTTTATTGAGTTTCTGTGTTTCTTTCTGAACTGCACTATGTTGTTTAAGCTGATTCTGAAATATGGCGACAGCCATACTTACTTTGTTCCATTGGCGGTTGGAGTGCTTACACTGACTGAAAATGTGCAATTTGGATTGGAAATCGGAGCATCCTTCCAAAAATGGAAACGCTCTGTGTCATAAGATGAACAGAATATCATTTATTTGAAAACATGAAGGAATAACGCTGTAATATTGTCTAGGTAAGAGGTATATTTATATTTATGAATAATAATAGAACAGTTCCTTACCCAGATCAATTGTTTTGGATTTCAGCTGGACAAAACGCTTACCTAAACTTGCTGAACAGTTATTCCTAAATCCAAACCTCTGTTTGGAACTTACACAAATGACTATGCGTATCTTCGACACAATCATCAAGTTCAAGAAACTAACAATGCTGTTACTAGGCTCTGGAGAGATATATCAGCTGTTACCGGAACTCACATGACGTCGCGAGGCACTATTTTATGGTCACCAAATATTTAGATTAACCTTAGTAACAGAAAGCAGACCATAAATAAGTTGCACACACATTACCATTTATACACGTACTACGAAATGACAAAAGAATCACTCTAATCTTATTACCAGTAGTAGGTTACACATTTGAGGTGCTACCCTCAATATTCGAAGTTCAAATTCGAACAATTATTTTCTTATCTTTGTTACGGGAGAAACGAAGACATTTTGCTGATCAAAACCTTCATGTATAAATATCATTAATTTCACTGTTTTTGGGTACATTTGTTTTACTTAACTTATGAACTTGTTTAAATTATTATTTGCGGACATTTTGGACTCCCGTTTCTCTTTGTTGTTCGTTTGCAGTTTTTTGCTCCAAGAGCTAATAAATTAGAAGGTAATTGTAATTATTATAATTATTGTTGTTAGAACGACATTGGTCGTCTATTTGTAATACAGTATTTTGGTCGAATTTGTGATTTGGAATAAACTTTGGTATCTACTTTGGAGTTTCGTTCTTGGTATAGAAATTTGGGACCGTGAATTACAAATAGACGACAACAGTGCTTCGTAAGATCAACGAGCAAAAAACTGGACGTAACATCTTTCACAACTTTCTAAGTTTTTATACCGAGTAAACAGTTAAATTGAAAAGCCTGTTGACGCCGCTCCACTACTGTCGATTATAAAGAGCTCAAACTTCCTGTATCATTATAAGTTACTTCTTGTTCACGTGTTAGCAGTTTATTAAATTTCTTTCCCCAATTACTTGACATCCAGACACCTTGCTTTCTTACGTATTTATAACCTTACTCATAAATACTATTAAATCCACCCGGAGGTGGATTTAGGAATTACTGTTCAGGAAGTTTAGATACGAGCCCTGCCCATTTAAAATTCAAAAGAATGCGATTGATCTTGGTAGGTAACGGTTCTATTATTAATCATAAATATAAATAAACGTCATTACTTGAACAATATTACAGCTGTTATTCCAGTTATAATAACACATAGTGTTTCCAGTTCTGGAAGGGTGCTCCAATTTCCGATCCAAATTGCACGCTTCCAGTCAAGATGAGCTTGACAACCGCCAGAAGACCAAAATCGATATGGCTGTCGCCATAATTAAGTATCAACTTAAACAACATAGTGCAGTTCTGAAGGAAACATAGAAACTGAAACAGTATACAAAGAAAAGAAACTGTAACAAAATACGAATATTAACATCCCAAAAGGGAATTAGACAGACTGCTGAAATTTAGAACTGTAAAGATCGATTAGAACATATTACAAATGTATATATGGAGGGATTTTCACAAATAAAGCCTTCAAAAATGGATTCTACAAATACTGGACACTACTCTTGCACCTTTTTTTCCGCTGCCTCTTCCTCCTGTCAACGAACCAACCAACAGCTGACCTATATCTTACAATTTATACCATTATTTAACGTAACAACTGTGTGATATACTCCTTGGATATCTAGTCCAACAAATAGAAGCCAAAATTGTCTGGGGATAGGAGAGTGTGGTGGACCACACTTAAACACACTTAAACAACATGTACAATCATTTTATAGTAAATGTACAAACAGTCGAAAATTAACAGAATAAATTCAAAATACGTTTGTCATGCCATCTCCACAAGAGAAAGTGTATTCCGACAAGATGTACAGAAAATAGAGTTTAGGCTCATAAGCATTATTTAAAACTTACAACTAAATGTAAGAGAGCCTTAAATCACAAAAGGAGGGAGGATGGTGTATCTGACCAGCGTTCATGACGGTGGAGCGATAACCTTAATCTACCCATTTCAGTAGGACAGAACATTTTGTTTGCTTACGGCTCCTAACGATATAACAGGATGTAATCAACCAGTGATATTGATGTTACGTTTCCTTGTTAACCACGTCTACCACTCCTGTTCGTAACCTTGTACTGCTTTCACTTCTTACCCCGAAACCCTATGACAGGCAGATCTAGAAAATTATGGTCTAAAAGAGCTCACTCATGACTTCTTGAGCTACAGAATATCACTAAAGCATCAAATCATCACTGTACGCTGCTAACAATATAGTTATTCTAAATTTCCTCTATCCATGTGATTAATTGCCCATTAGTTATTTTACTAGTGACTTGCATTCATTAACCTACATAAGTGCAGGTGTATGGTTAGTGTTCTAGTATCAAAAGATCTGAGTGGTCATAGCCTTGTTTTATCGAAAAATTTTATCTGCTGAGTCATTACTCAGCTTTAAAAAAGAATATTTTCTGTTCTGCTTCTCGCCTCATTCTCTTTATTTTTATTTTTCAACACTTTGTTCTAATCCTTAAATATTAGTCCGGATATTTGCCGAAGAATTGATTACTTTGACCAGAAGCCTGTAAATTTGTTATCCGACGAATATCAAAGGCATCTTTGCACATTTACCTCATCAATTCTTGTTATACGAAGACCTGGATTTATCTTGCATTGGTTTTTATTTATTGATGATTCGTTATAACGCAACCGTCGTGACTCGTGTCTACTGTCGCACTGTACATCGCACTGTCTGAAATATAATCTATAGCTTAATGTGGAACAGTTTGGCCTTCTGTATGAAGTCAATGTATCTCATGAATTATTTAAGATACTGGAAAAC